GTCCTTGTAACATGGCAACCTCTGAAATGTAGACAACGTTTTATTTCAGGACAGAAAAAAAAAATCTAACTGTGCCCCTAACTTTTCACAGACAAAATAAGACATCTCATTGGTTGACTCCCCTATATTTACATTGTTGAGTTAGAAAGGGCCTAACAGGGCACTTGGGTGGCTCAGTCACTGAGTCAAGTTGAACTCTTGATTTGGGTTCAGGTCATGATCTCAGGATCTGAGATCGATGAGTCCCACATGAGGCTCCATACTCTGTGGGGAGTCTGCTTGAGATTCTATCCCTCTTCCTCTGCCCCCTACCCTAAAATAAATAAATAAATAGATAATATATTTTTTTAAGGGTCCACTGGAAAACATTCATGATTCAGAATTCACTCCTTTTCACATGTTCCTATTTCCCTGATTAGAGATAAATGTAAATGAGGCTAGGATCAAGAACTGTTTCTTGAGGCACCTGGGTGGCTCAGTTGGTTGGGCAGCTGCCTTCAGCTCAGGTCATGATTCCGGGGTCCTGGGATCGAGCCCCACATCGGGCTCCCTGCTCAGCAGAGAGCCTGCTTCTCCCTCTCCCTCTGCCTGCCGTTCTGCCTACTTGTGCTCTCTATCTCCCTGTCAAAAAAATAATAAAAATCTTAAAAAAAAAAGAACTGCTTCTTAATTCTTAAAATTGCTGCAAAACCTGTTAAAGCAATAGCAGCCCAACAAATATCCTTAAAGTCTCTTGATAACGGAATAGCTCTTAACTCTTTATTGGCTGACGAAGGTGGTGTCTGGGCTACAGCCAACATCACCCTGTGAACCCTGAAACTCAGGTAAGGTCACAGAACATGTTGCTCGGCTTAAGAAGGTGACTCCTTCTACAGGGTCTTTCTTTGGCTTATTTGATTTTGATTGGCCTGAATCTGGGGGACCATGGCTCTAAAGTGCACTCCAAATACTGGGATTTATCCCACTTATGTAATGGTAATAAACTTCCTTTTTGAAAGCTTGAGATACATGCAGCAATGCATCAAGCAAATGCTCTTCCTAAGACAGGAACATCTATAGAACAAAGAAAATAACCCACTTAAGAGGAGTGTGAATCTGAGGCTGTGACCTATGAAGGTTAAGCAAAAAGGTCATAATCTATGGATACCAGACAAAGGAATGACAAAAACTTCGAGAACTTCCAAGCAGTAAGGGAGAGTAGTGCTAAGACCTAAAATATTTATCACATCTCTCAGTTAAGCTGACAGTCTGATCAAAAGGGGGTAACTGCTCAAAAGAAAACCACAGGCCCAAAATGGTGCCACTAAGGTTAAGGACCCAAGTCAGTAAAACAAGACTTAATTCCTTACCCAAGTGCAATTTCAACCAATCCCCCCTCCCTGGAATGTCATCTTTATCCAGTCAACATAGAATTCCTTGGTCAATACTAGGGAATTTTCTGATAGCCCCCCCATCCCTGGCTTCTGCTCTCCTTTCAAGGCAACCTTGCCTAAACAATGCATATTTTGCTAATAAATTCCTTCCTGCTTTTTTTTAACACCCTCTACATTTAAAAGTCTTTCCCTTCTTTAGTTCAATAGAGCTCCCCTCTTCCTGCTAGATGGGACACTGATTCATGAATCATTTAATAAAACCATTAGATCTTCAAATTTACTCAGCTGAATTTTTTTTTCAACACTGAGAACCGCTATTTCACAGATTCTAAAATGTTACTGGTGACTTCATAAGGTTTCTTGCCAAATTTTCTTAGTCTTCTCTTGAAACAACGCCATCTGGAGACAGAGTTCATCCAGGCCTTTTAGGATAATGAATTCCAACTATTCCACCTTGCTGGCTACGCAGCATGGCCTAGAAATTGCTCCTGGGAATGAATGACATCCCCATGATGTCAAGGTTTTGCCTGCAGCTTCACAGATAGAAACTAAACAGCCAGCTCTACAGGACACACATGGAGGTATGATTGTCAGTCAGGGCAGGATCCCAGGGAGCCTCAAAGGGCAGGTTAGGGAGCTGGGTTTCCCTCAGAACCTACTAGTGACCCCTGAGTGCCTGTGAGGGGGGGTGTCACAAGACAATAGTAGGAAGTTGAAATACAGGTACGGAGAGGTGGGAGGCAAGAGGCCAGCCAGCTAGGACACCATTATAAAAGTTAATGGTGAGAATGAATGCATTCCTGAACTGCGCTAGTGGCAGCCTCAATGGAAAGAGATAATGGCGCGGGGTTGGTGGGGGGAGCGGGGAGAGGGTCAGAGGAATTAAAAATGTGGGGGATCCTTGTCTCACCACACTGTCTTGATGACCACAGTTTTGTAATACAGCTTGAAATCTGGAATTGTGATGCCTCCAGTTTCGTTTCTCTTTTTCCAGATTGCTTGGTCTATTCGGGACACAAAGATCAACGGGACAGAAATGCACCCACAACTGTATGATCAACTAATATTCAACAAAGCAGGAAAAAAAATGTCCAATGGAAAAAAGACAGTCTCTTCAACAAATGGTGTTGGGGAAACTGGACAGCGACGTGCAGAAGAATGAAACTGGACCACTTTCTTACACCATACGCAAAAATAAACTCAAAGTGGATGAAAGACCTAAATGTGAGATAGGAAGCCATCAAAATCTAGAGGAGGACATAGGCAGTAAATCTCTCTGACCTTGGCCACAGCAACTTCTTACTAGACACATCACCAGAGGCAAGGGAAACAAAAGCAAAAATGAACTATTGGGACTTCATCAGGATAAAAAACTGCACAAGGGGCACCTGGGTGGCTCAATTGTTAAGTGTCTGCCTTCGGCTCAGGTCATGATCCCAGGGTCCTGGGATCGAGCCCCACATCAGGCTCCCTGCTCAATGGGGAGTCTGCTTCTTCCTCTCCTATCCTCCTGCTTGTGTTCTGTCTCTCGCTGTGTCTCTCTCTGTCAAATAAATAAAATCTAAAAAAAAAAAAAAAAAGCTTCTGCACAGCAAAGGAAACATTCAACAAAACTAAAAAGCAGCCTATGGAATGGGAGAAGATACTTCCAAGTGACATATCCGATAAAGGCTGAGTATCCCAAATCTATAAAGAACTTATCAAACTCAATGTACAAAAAACCCCAAACAATCCAGTTAAGAAATGGGCGGAAGAATAGACACTTTTCTTAAGAAGATATCCAGATGCCAACAGACACATAAGGAGATGCTCAACATCATTATCGGGGAAATACCAATCAAAACCACGATGAGATACCACCTCACACCTGTCAGAACGGCTAAAATTAACAACGCAAGAAAGAACAGGTGTTGGATATAGAGAAAGGGAAGCCTCTTGGACTGTTGCTGGAACCACAAACTGGTGTAGTTACTCCGGAGAACAATACTGAGGTTCCTCAAAAACTTAAAAATAGAAACTACCCTACAATCCAGCAATTGCACTAAAGGTATTTACCCAAGGGATAAAAAAATACAGATGTGAAGGGGTAAATGCACCCCTATGTTTAGAGTAGCATTATCAACAATAGCCAAACTACGGAGAGAGCCCAAGTGTCCATGAACTTATGAATGAATAAAGAAGATGTGGTATATACATATGTACAAGGGACTCATCCATTATAAAGAATGAAATCTTACCATGTGCAACCATGTGGACAGAGCTAGTGTATTATACCAAGTGAAATAAGTCAGTTAAAGAAATACAAGTACCATTTGATCTCACTGATATATGGAATTTAAGAAACAAAACAGATGAACATATGAGAAAGGGGGAAAAAAGAGAGAGGGAAACAAACCATAGGAGACTCTTAACAACAGAGAGCAAACTGAGGGCTGCTGGAGGGAGGTGGGTAGGGGACGGATAGATGGGTCATGGGCATTAAGGAGGGCACTTGTGATGAGTACTGGGTGTTTCATATAAGTGATGAATCATTGCATCTACTCCTGAAACCAATATTGCACCATATGTTAACTAACTGAAGTTTCAATAAAAATTTGAAAATAGGATAAAATAAAACAATAGAGAGATTTAAAAAAAAAAAAAAATGTGGGGGTGCCTACCATGATGTAAACGCTGGTCTAGGGAATGAAGGTTTTATGTAGATACTAAAGCCAATGAAAAAAACCACCTACTCAGAATACTTAGCAACATGTTGGGAAATTTAAAAGCACAATATTAATAACAAAATTCAACCACATTTTCTATAGCAGGCTATTCGGGAATGTTGCAAAAGAACAACCACCATGAGCCTTGACCCGCCCTTGGATACATTCACACTGGAAAATCCCTATCAACAGGATTACATGACTTGATCTTACTACACACTCACAACTGGATGCATTACACTTTTATTTCCAGTCCGTCTGGGCAAGAATGCTGAATTTTCAATACACTGTTTATTAGAACTGTCTTGTTTTCTCTTTGGCCCCCTGAGTACAGTTATGCAAATCTGGACTAATGCATGGAGGTCTGGACTCAACAATTTTGCCTTGGCTTGCCACTCACTTCCTTTTAATTGAGAGGAAATGCCCACAACGTAAAATCAACCATGTGAAAGTGAACAGTTAGGTGGCACTTAGCGTATCACGAGGCCGCACAAGCACCACTTCTGGTTATTCCCCAAACCCATTCATTTTTTAAAAGGACCAATAATACCACTCTTAATATATCGGATAACTTTACAACATGAGGCTAGCATACATAACTATTAAAAAACATTGTGGTCACACTAAACCTTTAACCAACCATATATTAGACACATACACACATTATTGTTTCCATCATAATTATTTTGTGTTGTGGTGGGCATTTTATTCGAAAAACAGGCTCCCTGGAATGTCACAACATTTTAAATTCAGAAAATGAATTATCATTATTATTCTCCTAATATCTTTGACACAGATCTTATAAGAGGATATCTCATACTCCTCCTTCTACCTAGTTACCAGAAAAGTCCTGAACTTCTTAAAAACAAAACAAAACAAAACAAAAATAACAAAGGCTAAAAGAGACTTCAATGTGCCATACCTTATTGGGATAGCTGGCCGCTTCCTTCCCAAATCAGCTTCAAAGAGGAAGCCTTCCACAGCAATAAATAAAAATTGTGCAAATGTCACAATGTTCCCGCATCCTGGATGCTTCCTGTGTAGTAAAACAAAAAGCTGAGATAAAGGGCACTAAGACTTGTTATATTAATAGTTCGAAATAACAGGGAGGACCAATTTCTCTTACCTACTGTCCTTTATCTCTGATTTCACATCCCATGGATCACACACGTCTATCAATAGAGCTCACAGAGAAGAAATGTCAAGCTTATTTTACTCTTCCCTAGCCATGAGAAAGAATAGGCCATGAGTAGGCCATGAGGAAGAATTCTGATAACTCTCATTCTCAGAATTACAATACAACTTTTCTAGTAAGCGGTGGGAGGTTGGTCGTATGTCCTTGGGATACTCAAAAAGACCAAAAGTGAATCCTGGTCACCTCAGCAGCAAAGCCCCAGCGCAGAAATGTGCTCGGGTCTCCTGGGGTGTTTACACAGCCTCCTGACCAGGAACCACCAAGGCTACTGGCAATAGAAGACATGCACCCATTGCTGGTGACTGGGACATCGTCTCAGAGAAGGTCACCCTGGGGGCAACGACTGGTTCTTGGGCTGGGGAGGTTCATTCCCTTTTTTGAAGTATCAAGCACGGGTATACAGACGGCACATGAATCAGGACGGAATGTATCTGTGGAGGGGTGATTAGGCAAAAAGTGTCTACAGACAAAGGGTCTTCGGCAGGGGTGAGGAGAGATAAGAAGCAAGAACAAGGAGAAAAGGCTGAAGAACGCTGTGATCATCGACTGACCCCAGCCCTGAACACAGGTATACTAGGTACTCCACAAACGGTGGAATTCAATCGAACCTCTTCAGTGATCCACGGAAGGGTTGAGGAATCTTCCACAGTGACGGTTAGGCACACATTTAAGAGGCAGAAAGAGTCCTTCTGACCTCCCTCTTGAAACACTGGGAAAACTGGTTACTTAAAATGTTTGCGGTTTGGAGTTTGCCCCTATCAGGTTCTGCTCAGTCACTGGAATTAGTACAAAGTGGCCATTTGTCTTTGTTTCCCTGGAGCTTCCAGACTTCTCAGCCTTCATATTGTTTTCTCATCTTGATCAAGGACATTTATTAACCAGAGGCTAGTGATTAGAGGGATAAGGATTGTATTATAAATGTACTATTACATTTAATATACTGCTATTTATTAAAAAACAACCCCATTCTCTACTAGTGGTATTATTAGTAAATAGCAATGTCAAGTATACAAGTTCTAAAATACACCTAACGGGAGTAAAGTAGGTTAACTTTAAGAACAAGCCACTCTTGGGCAGAGCTGGGCTTACCACGTGCCAACGCAACTGTTGCGACTCCTTATGCTCTAGTGGCCACAAAGGTGTTCTTGAAAAATACCGCTTTGCAGCCAACATTTCTTTTAGTATTTATGTTCGAGGGAAAAACACTGCAAGAAGCCATAAACAATCACATAAAACACTGACCTCATTCAAAGAGCTAAGCAAAACCATTAGCCTGATGAGTGACAGGAGAAGGTACGTTAGCTCCAGCTAGTTCCTGGCTTGGCGCTTTTCAACTCTGGCCAGGCCGCTCTTTAGAAAGCCACAAGTCGGAGGAGTCCTCCCAGCCCCCAGATCTGCTCAGACTACTGTGGGGGTAAGGCCCTAGAACCTGTACTTTTCAAAGCTCTCTGCTTGCTTCTAAGGTGCAGCCGACCTGAGAACCACTGGTGTGGGTCTGGGGAAAGTGCCAGAAGATGCGTGTGGGAGTGTGTGTGCAGACCTACGTAAGATGTGCCTGTGATTCCCATATGCTGTCACAGGGCTGAGAACCACCCAAGATGGTTAAAATTACAGAAGGACAGGCAGGATCCAGTTCTCTGGAGCGGAAGTTAATTACCCTAAGTCTTGCTTCCTTATCTTTAAAATGCAGAACAGTATTAGTGCCTATCTCACTGGTTTATTATAGAGTAAATAAACCAGTCCCTGAAAAGCACCTCAAGTGTGCCACAGAGGGGAAAAAGGCAAAGACTAGAACATTAGGACCTTGTATACGGAAAGGTCTTCAATTAAAGCGCAGTAACCCTTTTAAAGACATTCGTCTTGACAAATTTTTCTCAGCTATAAAAGAGCAAGTGATAAATTTTTAATTCTGTAGCGATGATCCCAGGAGAAAATGTAAAGTGCCAACACAAGACTTAGCCCAAATGGGGTTCATCAAGCTTCCTGCTTCCCACCCATTTTTTCTTTACCAAAGGATTAGGCCAATTCAATGAAAGAACCTATCACAGGTAAAGTTAGGTGCTGGCAAGCTCCCAGTGTGAAGGAGACCTGAACCCTTAAGGAGGTGACAAGGTAATGAGTGAGGCAAAATGGGAGTATGAAATAGTAAGAATCCAGTGCCACACGGGGAAGGTAAGAGGACCAGCGGTGTCCAATTCATCTTAATGCCTCGCTCTCTGAGCACAGTATCTGGCTTTCACTCAAGCGGCTGAATGAATGTGAGGGTGCCTCACTGTAAGTAAGTATGACCTAAAATATTTTATGAAAGATAAAAAGAAGTCATTTATTTCTAAAAATGATTCACTTTACAAGTGTATTCCTCACAGGATTTTTTACAAAGCATAATAATTTTTAATGTTATCTTTATTTTACAGAGGTTATTTTTATGCCCATTTCATTGCTAAAGACACTGAGGGTCACATGGTACTGACTCAGGGAAGTCTCCCAGAGCACAGTGCAAATACGTGAGGTTTGCAGACTCCCTTGTATTACTGTTTACAGTTCAGTGGTTTCTACTATATTTAGAGTTCTGCAGCTCTTACCATTTTAGGGTACTTCCCAAAGACATCTCATACATGTTAGGGTCCCTCTCCATTGCCCCCTCCCCCATCCCTTGACAACCCTATATTATTTTGTCTCTATTTCCATAGGATTTTAAAATATCCTTAATGTACTCACATAATTAAATTTTTTACAAAATCAACTTAGCTTTTGGGGGAACACACTGTTGTATGGCTAACCGATGGAACTATTTGTTTTAACTTTAACAACTGATTTTAAACCTTCAATGTAAAAACTTGGATCCTTTTCCCTAAATCTCTTGTTTTCTTTAACTTTACTCCTTACAAATTATAATCACCAACTGCAGTTTCTCTTACTTGGAATTCTCTTTAGCAAACATTCAAATTTTTATTTCAAAGACAAGCAACTTTGAATTTTTTAATTTCTTCTTCCAGATTTAGGAAACTTCCTTACTTGAGTCAACATGATGCACTTAATTGTAAAATAAAATAGGAAAAAAAAAGTTTCAGATTGTTTTCCTGAGGTAGGACACTCACCACCTTGGCGAGTTAGTTAGCTGATGTGTGCGCAACCTGTTTCCAAGCTCTTTCCGGAGGGAAGTCAAGGCATCCATTCAGGACTTCACGTCTGTTCTGTACAGTGCGTGGTGCTTTTTATTTTATTACAGGTCCCAATTATAGATAAAAAAATCAAAAAGAAACCTAGGTTTGTTTCCCGATTTGGGGAAAATGGAGAAAAATGTTTCCTTCTCCCTACAAATCACTCTAGCATTTCCATTTCTACTTAGTGTTCTGCTTGGCACAGTATTAGGGCACATGATGGTCCCAAGGAAGCCATATAAGAGCAAGTTCCTGCTCTATAAAAATTTATGAGCTTTCCACTGTGATGTCCCAAGATAAAGTCAAAAATTATGAGGAGGCCAAAACTACAAAGGACCTTAAAGACCATCTGGTCCAACCTGCTCTTATTTTATTGGTCTTTAACAGAGTAAGTTGTGAGCTGCCCCAGCAAACCAGGAAAAGTCTGCTATTCGGTCTGTTGTACACCACTCACTAAGTTAATAACCGTGCCCCTCACCACTTTATGAAAACCTACTGCTCTATGCAAAAAGTCAGATTTATAAAAAAGACAAACGGGGAGGATCTATGTATAAATTTTCAAAGCGTCCTAAATAGAAGCTCCTCTAATTCACAAAAACATTCCATAAAGTTAGATTTATCCACAACTTTTCAGGAGTAGCTTATAATACAAGGTTTACCGGCACCGAAACCGAAGTTGTTAGAGACAAGAGGAAGTCAGTGTGGGGTGCCTGGGTCCTGGGATCAATCACTGTGTCCGACTCCCTGCTCAGCGCAACCCTCTTCTCCCTCACTCCCCCTCCCTCATTCTCGCTGTCTCTATCAAATAGATAAATAAATACTCTTAAAAAAAAGAAAAAAGGAAGTCAGTGTGCTTCAGGCGCTTTGCATGTGCATTTCATTGAACTCTTCAAAACCCTGTGAAGCTGGTAGAGCCTTTCCCAGTTCAAAGAACAGACTCAGGAGATCAAGTAATTTAGCGGAGAGCTCACACTTAGTAATGAGGGCCCTCAGGTGCTCACATATCATGATGTCATATAGCCTTCGGCAGGAATTAATTTAATGGCACATTCAACACAAGTCTTTATTATATTTATATATATTTAATAATACAGTATATTATTCTCTCATTATTCCATGGCTGGCCTGATTTTTTCACTTTTTTAGTATTTTTAAATTAATTTCCCAAATGACCTTCCTTGGAAGTATACCAGACTGACAAGTGGGTACATTTTTTCTTTTTTTAATTTTTAAACCTCTCTCCAACTACGCCCAAAATAAGTGACAGATCTTCATCAACACTTTCTGCATAAGATTTCAAGCTCTGCAATAGCAAAAATTAACCCAGACCTTAAATAAATTGATTGCTTTAGAATGACTAATCAATGGTATCATGGAAACAAAATAAATATATTTCTAGTTCACCTCCAGGTGAGGCACTGACCAAAATTCCGTGGGCTGCTTAAGTTCAAAAACAACAGGGAGATTGCAAAAGGTACTAGAGTACAGGTATCTTGGATTCTAGTTTGGGCTCTGCTACCTACAAGTAGTAGAAGACCGTCTGACTTCTTGAGCCCTGTTTCATTTTCAGCAAAAGAGATAGTAACTCCTGACCTGTTTGGTTCACAAGATTGTTCTGATGGTCAGTGGAGATGTGCAGATTCAGATATATGGCCCTAGAGAACACCACACATCGTTTATTCTTCAGCTAGAAAAGGGAGGCCCAACGCGGCTAAAGGAAAAGGAGGACCCAACCAAGACTTGAGATTTTTGGTCCTGAACCTTTTCTAGTCCACCGTCGTCTCTTCTGTAACAACAGCTCCTATCCACTGAACTTTGCACGTTGCTCAACATTATTTGAGAGCCACCTCAATAAAACTAACCTAGTTTCCCTTTGGGAAAAAGTGTCATAATCATTCTTAATTTATAAAGTTACGCCTCCAAATGCACGCTTCTCGATTTAAAGACTGTGGTATCTTAAAAGCTGGAATTCCTCCCTCTGGTCAAGGGGACCGGCCTTCTGAGTAAGTTAAGGCTCCACCGGACTACATCACCGGGAGGTCTGTTTGGGTCAAGCACTCACAACCATCTCGAAGGCCGAGAAAACAAATGCTTTGGGGGGTGGGGGTGGGGGTGGGGGGTCTTAATGAAACTTTCTTGGCTTCAAGTGCAAAATCAGACTGCGTTAGAAGCCGTTGGACTTTGCCCCAGTCCGACGTGTGGCATTAACAGGATCGCGAAAAGAGCTGGAGGAGCTCTAGGTTCTGCCACGAGCTCCCCGCCGACCTTGGACCGGTCACGAGAGAAAAACTCTGCAGGCTGCAATCCCGCAGTGTGGGAAAAGCGGGTGAGGACAGCAGGACCCCCGGCGCTCCCCTCCGAGGGATGCAACCTGGAGGGCGGGAGAGCGGGCAGCTCGCGGGGCCACGGAGAAACCGTCTCCGCCGGGTCCCAGGCCGTCTCGCCCCGGCCCCGCGCGCTGCGAGCAGGGGTGCGGCCCGCGGAGGTCACTCACCGGGCCAGGAGCTCTAGGAAGATCACATTACTGCAGCAGCCTGCGAACACCAGGCCCACCGCGAAGGCCGGGCGCATGGCCGGAGCGCGGAACTGAGGGCGAGCGCGGAGGCGCGGCGCCCGCTTATACCGCCTCCCCAAGAAGCCGGGCCGCTGCGTCCGCCGCGGCACAGATCATCCCCACCGTGCCGCAGTGCTGCTCTCCTTCGGCGGCACTGCCGCCGGCTCCCCTTCCCCCGCGGCCTCCACCAACGCAGCCGGCCGAGGATCTGTAGTTCGCAGTCAGCCTGGGCCCCATTCATCCGAGGGGGCGTCCCGGACAGAGCCAGACTACACATCCCATGATGCTGCGCGCCGTTACGTCAGGCTACGTGTCCTTCCTCCTCGAGGTGCTTCCGCCACAGAAGACCGCGGGCCGAGGTGCCCGTCATGCCTCGCGCTGAAAGGGGCCGCTGGGCTTTTTGGGAAGTGAAGTTCCGATGCTGTCAATGTGGTTTCCTGGGAGGCCGCCGAAGGCTCAGAAAGGAACTCGTCCATCGCCGTAACAACAAACTCACAACTGACGGCACTAGAACTACAGACCTGTGATGGATTGTCGGCGGTGTTAGCATCTGAAACAACTGCCCTGAATTGAGTGAAAGTAGAAATCCCTGTGAACTCGCCTGTCCACCTCTTGAAAAGATCATTATACGCTGGGATAGAATCTTGGCTCAATCCCTAATCAGCTCCGCTATGTCAGTCAACTTATTTGAGCCTGAGTCTCATCCTAGGTAGAGATGGAAACAGTAATGCCTGTCTTACCAGGTTCTGTGGATCTTGTTTAAATGCAAGTTATGGGGCGCCTGGATGGGCTCAGTTGGTTAAGCAATTGCCTTCGGCTCAGGTCATGATCCTGGAGTCCCGGGTTTGAGTCCCACATCAGGCTCCCTGCTCAGCAGGGAGTCTGCTTCTCCCACTGACCTCTCTCTCTCTCTCATTCTCTCTCCCAAGTAAATAAATAATAATAATAATAAATTAAATGCAAGTTACGATTCACTAGAACTGTGCTGTGTCCTGAGATTAGGCATTTCTGGCATGTTCTCAGGTGTCTCTGATGCTACTGGCCCGTGGACCACACTTTGAAGAGCAGATGCCTGTAAAACAGATGACTCTAGAGACCTCTCTATCCCACCTCTCTGACTGGCCAAGGAACTTTGTGTCAGCTAACCTGTCCTTAGTCTCTTCCTTCCTCATAGCCTACGATCCTGCTCAAACTTACCTTAGTTTTTCATCTGGCCACCCAGTATCTTCAAAGAACAATCTAAATTCATAGTCTTTGCTTTTTACTCTGATCAAGCCAGATTCTGGAAAGTAGTCTCATTCAGACTCCTAACGACCTCTTAATTGTCAAAACCATATACCACATTCTCACCCTACTTGATCTTGCGGTGGCTTTTGATAATGAAAGCTCCATACTCTTGACATTCTCCTCTTTTCTATCTGCTTCTGAGACATGAGTCTCCAGTTTCTCTCTCTACTTCTCCTATTTTTTTCAGTTTTGTTTGTGGGCTTTTCCGCCTCTGCCCCAAGTCTACCAAAGTTCCATTATGTTTCCCTCTTCTTACTGCCCTAAACCCTTTCTATTGGTGATCTCATCTCTGTAACTTCAACCATCCTAATATGTAACTGTGAGCCTATATGTGTATAAATGTCATGTATGGCCCCAATTTCCTGTGTGCCTTAAATAAAACTTCCAACTGCGTATCTGACTCCTTCAGCATTATATCCTTGCAACCCCTTCAGCTTAAGCATCTACACAGCTCATCTATCCTTCCATATAAGTTCTTAGTTTTTTTTTTTTCAGATTTTATTTATTTGAGAAAGAGAGAGAGTGAGTGAGCATGAGCAGGGAGAGGGGCAGAGAGAGAGGGAGAAGCTCCTTGCTGAGCAGGGATCCCAATGAGGGGCTCAATCCCAGGACACTGGGATCATGACCTGAGCCAAAGGCAGGCACTTAACCAACTGAATCACCCAGATGCCCCAATAGGCCCTAATTTCTATTAAGGACATTATCTACCACCTATTCTCTTTGGGCAGAAACCTGAAAGATTTCCAGTCTTCCTCTCCTTCCCACCACATAGTTATTCGATCTCTATACCCTGTCAAGTATGCCTCACAAGTATCTCTAGATTCTAGCCTCTCTGTCCACATATCCTCCTATGAAAGCCTCTGAACATGTCTTGGTACCTTCAACCTCTGCCTTCTTCAAATCTTCATCCATGCTGTCTCCAGACTGTGTTTATTTTTTTTTTAAGAATTTATTTATTTATTTGTCAGAGAAAGAGAGAGAGAGAATGAACACCAGCAGGCACGGGGGTAGGCAGAGGCAGAGAGAGAAGGCTCCCTGCTGAGCAAGGAGCCAATGTGGGACTTGATCCTGGACCCCGGGGTCATGACCTAAGCCGAAGGCAGCGGCTTAACCTACTGAGCCTACTGAAGATGGGGACATCCCTCCAGACTGTGTTTCTAAAGACAAAATACTCTCTCTGTCACATTTCTATACCAAAATATCTGGTCTACTTGTTTAGTACTGTGTAATAGACCGCTCTGAAGAGTAGTGATTCAAAATATAGTATAGATCCAAAAAAAAGAAAATCTTTCTTACAGTTCTTTATGTCATACACATTCAACACAGAGTGAGTCCATTCTCCACTGGGGTTTCTGACGCAGTTGTGTTCAGATGTCAGGTGAGGTTGGAGTCACCTGAAAGCTTGACTGGGCTGAGGGACCACCCTCTCCACACAGTCTCTCTTAGACTGTGCTTCCTCACAATGCTGTGGACTCAGGCTAGCTGGACTTCTTATATGATGACTGACACCCCAAGAACAAGTTTTTCAAGAAATCGAGGCAGAAGCTGCAGTGGCCTCAGAAGTCACACAGTGTCACTTGTACCAAATTCTATGGGTTTCATCGGTTTCTCCATGAAAGAGAATTAACATGGGCATCTCTTGGGTGTTGGGTGGGAGGACATCTCTAAAGCCTAGCTATACAGAATTTCTTTGGCACCCTGTGCAAAATTCACACTTGTAGAAGGTGTACAAGCATGTCGCAATCAAGCCTCAGTTTCCCTCTGTAGTTTCATCTCCTGCCATTCTTCCCAGTGCTACCCAGACTCTTATGACATTAAACACTCTGTTTTCTGAGTTTACAGTGAGTTTCAAAATTCGTATCTCTGTGCATGCCGTTCTGCCTGCTCAGAATACCCCGCTTTCTCCTGCTCAACCTTTTATGGAAGTGGAGGATGGTGGAGTGAGTAGATACATCCTCGCTGTGCAGAGGGAAGGTCCCCTCTCAGATGCTGCCACCTTCCTGTGCGTAGCTTTTCAATACACCATTCCTCGTTCCCTCTTCTATCTGTAGCACTCCATCCACACCACCTGAACAAATCCATGAAGCATGTTGTGTTGTAGTTGTCATTTTCATGTCTGTCTCCCCTGGAGACCATGCCCCTTTGTGGACAGAACCAAGAATAACGAATTCATCTCTTGATTCTTAGCATCATATGATACACACTATGCACATATATTTTTTGTTGAATAAATGAGCTTTCCTTTATTATTGGAGTCAAATAATTTGTACCTCATCAATTCGATAAATATGTGTGTTTCATTAAATATTTTTATTAAATATTACATATTTTCAGCATGACTAATTTTTAAGCATCAAACATGTAAACATCAAAAAGGCACTGCTCAATTAATTTACTTAAATGATCATCTGTATAACCAAGACCCTGGCCAAGAAACAGAACATTACCAGCATCCCAGAAGCTCCTTGTTTCTCCTCCCAATCACTAATCCCCTCTAGGAATAACCACTTTTCTTTCTTTCTAGCCCCAGAATTTGTTTTGCCTGTTTTGGGACTTCACATAAATGGAATCATACAGCATATTTTCTTTTGTTTCTGCTTCTTTCACTCAACATTCTGTTTCTGTTTGTTTGTGTTTTCGCATATATTTGTAGTTCATTTATTCTAATCACTCTCCAGCATTCCTTTCCATGAATATACCACAAATTATTTCTCTCTTCTGCTGGTAATGGGCATTTGGGCTGTTATGAATAGTGCTACTATGGAATTTGTTATACATTGCTTCTAGTAAACTTTTCAGCACACATTTCCGGAGGCTATGAGTACATTCAACAAGGTCTAGTCAAGAAACAGAAATCACACAGTAATGAATGGGGAAAGTTTAATATAAAGAATTACAAACTAGTAACAGAGAATTCATTACTATAAGGAGTTAAGAAACTCCCAAGATTATACAAATAGCAGATATGAGAAGTAGCTACTACCTAGGACCAACGCAGATAACCCAAGAAAGGAACAAATCTGGAAGAGGGCCTTCTTGAGAGCCAAACTAAGATTCAGGGCTTACTGGAAAGGGTATGGTTAGGGCCCTCCAGCTAGCAGAGACATTCTGTCAGCTGCTGATCAAACTTGCTGTGACTCATCCTCTGGGGTCCAGCTGGGTCACTGGCCAACCCACCAGGAAGCTTCTTGGGGGTATTGTACTTTCTAGGAAGTTGGCTGGGGTCTGGCAAAACTCTCTAGTAACCATCTGTAAGGGTACTGCTAAATTCCCTGAGATGAGGGCCATGGGGTATCCCTTGGGCTGCAGGAACAAGAAGAGAGGGGACAACACCAGAACCAGGAAGACAGACCACCTCCTCCCGTTCTTCTCCCAGAGCACCCCCTGTGACAAAGCTCCCCATTGGGTCACCTAGGCAGAGGACAGACGTCCACAGGACCATGCTCCAGCCCCCCAACCCCCACAAAGCCAGGAAGAGCGAATTTGGAGCTGAGAGGCTGCAAATCAACACTAAGACCCTAGTGGGGGTCTTAGGGGTCATTTCATCTTCAATATTTTCATTGTTTCATCGTAAAACCAGAGGTATGCAGTAGAGGCAGGCCTTCATCTCCCAGACTTTTTCTTCTTTTTTCCCCACTGAGTTCAAAATTCTAGCATCCTTGAGTGAATAGAATTTCTTCGACAGCAGCCGGGCTCAATGAGTTCAACCTCCGTACAACCCCCTTCCCTGGTGAAGAAGGACCTATCACTTTGGGAACGTTCATCATCTTCACCCGCTTGTTTGTCAGCAGGAAACGCTGTCAAGGTTGTTTTAAAAACCATTTTTGCTTCTAGTTCCAGCCACTCAGACATATTTTGAATCATTTATAAAATCCACTTAACCAAGTTGTTGACAAAAAAAATTAAGTAAGATGACTCCTGT